TCAGAAAATGGTGAAATCACTTATTTGCCAAACACAAGTGTAGTGATCCGCTTAAGCCTACAACAGGAACAACAACAACGACTAAATCTGCCATCTCTACTAGCCCGGCGCTGACTGACTGACGCTCATCGTTGTTATTCATGTGGCATGAAGCATGTGCCACCGACATAACATTGACAATAAATTGTGCAGAAGTAATCGTTGCATAAAAAGCCATTGAGGCAAGACTAAACGGAAACAGAGAGTTGAGAGGAGAGGGAAAAAACGCAACGCAACATTTCTAAACTCAATCTTTCCGTTGTCGGTTTTTTGTTTTTGTTTCGCTCAACTCAATGCTAATCAGTTGATAAAGTAATGTGCTGCTTTGGAGTAATAACTTTGAAAATTAATATCCATAAATAAATATAAAGAGACAAGAGAAACGACAATGTGATGAGAGTTAAGAAAGTTGTTTGTTTTAAATAGTTCTATTATCGATAGTAGAGAGAGCTTTAAAGTGATAAAATTCAATGAAGCTTTAGTTATGGAATCATTACCATGAAGATAATGGGGAAAGTGCTTGTGAATATAGCTATTTTAAGGTGCCGCCTGAAAGTATGCAATGGATATTAGAAATAATGAAATAGATGGGGTGTGGAGACTTGCAAGTAATCGGATGTAGCAAAAATTGTGATATCGAACTTATTATGAATCACAGAAAACGTAGGATATATTTAATAAAAACAATTTGTTATCGAAAAACTTTTCTAGAGAAAATGTCGTTATCGAACAAATTTTGATAGAAAATTATGTTATCGAACAAAATTTTCCTAGAAAACAACAACATTTCTATAGCAAATGTTGTTATCGGACAACTTTTCTATAGAAAATGTTATTATCGGACAACTTTTCAATAGAAAACGTCGTTATCGAACAACTATTCTATAGAAAATGTTTTTATCGAACAAATTTTCTACAGAAAATATTGTTATCGGACAAATTTTCTATAGAAAATGTTGTTATCGGACAAATTTTCTATAGAAAATGTTGTTATCGGACAACTTTTCTATAGAAAATGTTGTTATCGAACAACTTTTCTATAGAAAATGTTATTATCGGTCAACTTTTCTATAGCAAATGTTGTTATCGGACAACTTTTCTATACAAAATGTTGTTATCGGACAACATTTCTATAAAAAATGTTGTTTTCGTTCAAATTTTCTACAGAAAACGTTGCTTTAAAGAACTTTTCTATAGAAAACGTTGCTTTAAAGAACTTTTCTATAGAAAATGTTGTTATCGGACAACTTTACTATAGAAATTGTTTTTATCGGACAACTTTTCCATAGAAAATGTTGTTATCGGACAACTTTTCTATAGAAAATGTTGTTATCGGACAACTTTTCCATAGAACATGTTGTTATCGGACAACTTTTCCATAGAACATGTTGTTATCGGACAACTTTTCTATAGAAAATGTTGTTATCGGACAACTTTTCTATAGAAAATGTTGTTATCGGACAACTTTTCTATAGAAAATGTTGTTATCGGACAACTTTTCTATAGAAAATGTTGTTATAGGTCAACTTTTCCATAGAAAATGATGTTATCGAACAAATTTTCTTAAAAAATGTTGTCAGCGGAGAACTTTTCTTTAGAAAATATTGTTATCGAACAACCTTTCCATACAAAATGTTGTTATCGAACAACTTTTCTATAGAAAATGTTGTTATCGAACAACTTTTCTATAGAAAATTTTGTTATCGAACAACTTTTCTATAGAAAATTTTGTTATCGAACAACTTTTCTACAGAAAATTTTCTTATCGACTAACTTTTCTATAGAAAATGTTGTTATCGAACAACTTTTCTATAGAAAATGTTGTTATCGATTAACTTTTCTATAGAAAATGTTGTTATCGGTCAACTTTTCTTTAGAAAATGTTGTTATCGATCAACTTTTCTTTAGAAAATGTTGTTATCGATCAACTTTTCTATAGAAAAAGTTGTTATCGATCAACTTTTCTATAGAAAATTGTGTTATCGATCAACTTTTCTATAAAAAATGTTGTTATCGATCAACTTTTCTATAGAAAATGTTGTTATCGATCAACTTTTCTATAGAAAATGTTGTTATCGATCAACTTTTCTATAGAAAATGTTGTTATCGATCAACTTTTCTATAGAAAATGTTGTTATCGATCAACTTTTCTGTAGAAACTGTTGTTATCGAACAACTTTTCTATAGAAAATGTAGTTATCGAACATCTTTTCTATAAAAAATGTTGTTAAAATTGTAAAACAACATTTAAGAAAGAGTATCATAAAAGATTATCTTATAAAATCTTCAAACTTTTTCGTAGTAAATAACGTCACAAGACTCATTTTTTTGTCGCCAGACCGTTTTCAACAAAATTCTCTTATCCAACAACTTTTCCATACTTCTGCTCATTTACTGTGCAGCTGTTCATTCTAATTCACAGGGATATTCGAGTTTTGAAATTACACAGTTTTGAAATTACACAGTTTAAGAGCAAATTAAATACGCAGCTCACACAAAAGCACAGGAACAAAGCTCATAATTAGAGTAGGCGAAGAAAAAAGTGGAATGAAACCAAACCCCGTCCCTTTTCACTAACAGCAACAACAACACCAACACAAAACCCTCTGTGATTTCATGTCTCAAGTGATACTTTAATAAATAACCAACGCCACATGCCGGGCGTGGTGTAGAGTGGGCTGTTGAAAGTGTTAGCAATGTGGTAGGTATTTAGGGTAGGATAGGGTGGTTCTTAATGGGCCACTCTACTTAGATGCTCACACACACAAAAATGCTGATGGATCGGGTGGTGATGGTGGTGGTAACGGTAATTGTGTTGAGCCAAAGTCTCGTCTCGTATCCACACTCTAAATGGCATTAACAATGGAGTTATAAACATTTATTATTTAACGAGGAATGAGCAGAAACTTTAAGTTGTTGGTAAATAAACATAAACTTGACAAAAATAAAAAGCAAGTCCAACAAAAACAAGTAAAAAACAACAGCGGAAAATAACAACAACTTGAGTTTTAAGCCTTTTGCAAAACAATGTTAATGTAAGCCCATTGCAAGACGATTAAACAACAATGACGACAAAGACGAAGAAGAAGAACCGGAGCAGGAGCAAGAAAATAAATGTCGAAGAAGAACATTATAAGCCGCATATTGTTGTTGTTGCTGCTGGTTTACAGCTGTCTAGTTATTATAAATGCTTTATTTCGCGAGCACATATTTTTTGCTTTATTATAACGGAATTTAATGAGCGGCTGTTTTTTTGTCGGGCTTTTAGCTTAAGTTATGCAGCATAAGCTGAGCGCCGGCTTGCGGACTTGAGGCAAGAATGTTAAATGTTGTTGCTACAATTGTAGGTAAGTGCAGATGGAAAGGAAGTGCAGACATTCCAAGCAGCTACACTGATAACAAAAAAAGAAGCTCTTTGTTATCGGAAAATGCTGTTATCGAACAGCTTTTCTATCGAAACCGTTGCTATCGAACAGCTATTCTATCGAAACAGTTGTTATCGAACAAATTTTCCATCAAAACAACGAACAACGTTTCTTTGAAAATGGTTGTATCGAACAACCTTTTTATAGAAATAGTTGTTATCGAAGCACTTTCCTAAAGAAAAAGTTATTATCGAAACACTTTCCTAAAGAAAAAGTTGTTATCGAACAACTTTTCTATAGAAAATGTTGTTAGGGAATAACTTTTCTATTGCAAATGTTGTTATCGAACAACTTTTGTATCGAAAAAGTTGTTATCGGAAAACTTTTCTATCGAAAATGTTGTTATCGAACAGCTTTTCCATAGAAAAAATTGTTATCGAACAACTTTTCCATAGAAAAAGTGGTTATCGAAGAACTTTTCCATAGAAAAAATTGTTATCAAACTATAGAAAATGTTGATATCGAACAACATTTCTATAGAAAATGTTGTAATCGAACAACTTTTCTATAGAAAATGTTGTAATCGAACAACTTTTCTATAGAAAATGTTGTTATCGAACACCATTTCTTTCGAAAAAGTTGTTATTGAACAAATTTTCTTTCGAAAAAGTTGTTATCGGAAAACTTTTCTATAGAAAATGTTGTTATCGAACAACTTTTCTATAGAAAATGATGTTGTCGAACAACTTTTCTATAGAAAATGTTGTTATCGAACAATTTTTCCGTAGAAAATGTTGTTATCGAACAACTTTTCTAAAGAAAATGTTGTTATCGAACAACTTTTCTAAAGAAAATGTTGTTATCGAACAACTTTTCTATAGAAAATGTTGTTGTCGAACAACTTTTCTATAGAAAATGTTGTTATCGAACAACTTTTCTGTAGAAAATGTTGTTATCGAACAACTTTTCTATAGAAAATGTTGTTATCGAACAATTTTTCTACAGAAAATGTTGTTATCGAACAATTTTTCTACAGAAAATGTTGTTATCGAACAATTTTTCTACAGAAAATGTTGTCATCGAACAACTTATCTATAGAAAATTATATTATCGAACAACTTATCTATAGAAATAGTCGATGTGTATCGGTAAGCATCCATATTTACGCCTATATCTTCCATTTCAAATCCTTTTTGGTGGTAATTGTTAATTTACTGAAGCGATAACTTTTAATCGTACCACGTTTATGACGATAGCTTTTATTATCGAAACCATTTTTACCCATAATACTGTTTTAAAATCGTATTGGTATCAATATCGAATCATTATTGCAGCGATTACTTCAGTATCAATATATATATATTTATGACCGATAACTTTGTTATCGAACAATTTTTTTTACCGATAACTGTGTTCTCGAATTGTTTTTGTGCTAAAAGCTTGGTAAACTTATCATATTAATGTCGATAACTTTGTTATCGAACCATTTCGGAACCGATAACTTTTTTATCGACTAACAAAATTTTATTTTTTTATATTTCCTTTTCAAATATATTTGGTTTCAACTCATATTTAAGTTTAATTTTGAATACTCACATTGTGATACCACTCAATTTTGGTGATTGCGGGATTAGCTCTAACTTCACAGTCCAGGAAGACATCAGTACCCTTTAGCAGATTGTTGGGATCCAAAGGGGCGCCCAGGCTCAGGGAGACAATTGGAGCATCTGTTTTATATGGAATAAAGAAAAATAATAATTTTTAATTAATTTTTTTTTTTTTTTTTTTTTTTTTTTGCAAAAGAATATGGAAAATGTCTTTTTTCCCAATACTTACGTGTCACATTCAAAACCCTTGAATCCTTTAGAAACAAGCCCATGTTGCCATTGCCCAATACCGTGGTGACACTGGTATGACCCTCGGGCAAATGTTGCGAAGTCATTTGGGGATTTAATGAAATTGAACATTGAACTTGCCGTTCATTGTCCTCCGGCACGGGTATAAGGATCAACTCCGATACTGTGGTATTGCCATCAACCGAAGTCTGCAAAAGAGGAATATTCATCGCATAAAGAAAATATTTCTCTCAATAATTTGTCTTCTTTTATTTGCGGCTTACCGATTGTGTGGCTCCTTTAAGAATTTGGCCACCCTTTGACCAAATGATTTGTGGTGCCGGACGGGCACCCACTGAGGTGCAGGTAACATGAGTGCGGGTTCCAGCCACCAGGGCATGATTTAAGCCTTGCAACAATAAGCTTAGGGGAGGCACTGAAAGAAGAAGAAGAAAAAATAAAAGATGGAAATGGAATAAGATTGCTTTTAATATCTCATCTCTTTATGAGGAATATCATTTGCAAAGGTTGTTTGTTGTGGGAGCACCCTTCCCACAAAGCTTCTACAATTTTCAAATCCTACCATTTGTAATGGCAACTTCTAACAACTATTTTCCTTGGCTTTCTTGTTGCATTTTTCTATTACTCACAAAGAATAGTTGTTGGTGGGGTGGGGTTTTTCTTTTTTGCTCTCCCTCTCTCTCTTTCCCACTCTCGTATTTCCCGTTTGCCTTATCTTTTAATCTGTGTTAATCTGTTTGAATCTTTCAAAATGTTTTGTATACGTCCGTTTCTCATTTCTTCTTTTTCCTTTTGCCTTTGCTAAGTGGATGGGTGGGGAGTTCCGTTTGCGAGGCTGAATAGTGGGTTGGGGGTGAGTCTATGTTTGTGTGTGAGTGTGCACAAGATTGTAATTTTTTCCCTCTCTGTCTCATTTGAAGATGAAAATGACTTTTGTACACCTGAATATTCATTTATTTATTTCATCTATTTGTGCTACTTCTAAATGTCGTTCATATTCGTCGTCGTCGTTGTTGTTGTTGTTGTTGTAAACCTTTGAACCATGTTTATTTATTCTTGTGCTATTTTTTGTTGGCGTTGTTGCTCTGAACGAAAGAAATAAATTACTTTTCGTCGTTGTTATACAGAAATGGTCATTTTTAGTTGCAAATGTCGGGGTAACATGTTACGATGGCTAATAAAGATATTTATCTTATATACATACACACACACATAGTTATAGTTTTATTACATGTTGTTGTGTTTTTTTTTTTAGGTCAATGGTATGAAAAGCTCATCCTAAAAGTATGTTGCTAATCATAAAGTTCATATGCCCCCTGAGGTGGGTTATGTGTTTTTTTTTTTACTTAAATGAAATGGCATAAATTAAGGGAGAGTGGGTTCTGAAATTTTTATGGGTATTACAGTGGTCAAGATTGGGGCTTGAGGAAAGCCTGTTTTCGGTCGAAAATGTAATGTGTTATCGGATATTATTGAAATTAATCCTTTTTATACACTCCAACTTGGAAGAGGGTATATTACGTTGTCATTCCGTTTGTAACATCCTTAAATATTCGTCGTATATATTCATAAACAGCATAAAATTCTAAGTCAATTCAGCGATGTCCGTCTGTCTGACTGTCCGTCTGCCTGCCAGTCCGTCTGTCTGTTGAAATCACGATACAGCCCACATTATTTGACTTAGAGCACCAAAATTAAGCAGAGCAATTTGTATTGTGTCTAGGATGGTTGGTATTGAAAATGAGATATATCGATCGGTCCACGTCTTCGCATAGTCCCCATATAACGGTACCTCCCGATATTCGGTATTTTGGTGATTTTTGCCACTTTTTTCCCAAATTCGTCTGAAAATTGGTATTTGTAGGTCATAATGGGTTCTACTGTTTCCTTTTTCCCTAAGGTGGTTGGTATTAAAAGTTTGTCCTGGCTGAACTTAAGGTTTTTTTACTTGTTTTAATTATTATGGAAATATGTTTCCGAGTAAGTAAAGGCCTATGTTGGTCAAGGCCGACCATGTGATACCCTACAATCCTATCCTGTATTTAACGCTGAAGTTTTTGTAGACTTGAAATCTTTTTGACTGGAAAGAAAACCAAGATATAGGTAGACCCTTTACTACTATCCAATGACCATCCAAAATTGTAGGCTTCTTACCTGCCTTAAAGCCACATGCAAAACCTGTAGGGCAACTCAAAATCAGGGAATGTTTCTATTTCGGGTTCATTTCAACCCCTTTAAAGCTGGACCGAATCAGCTCAGCGATGATCTATAGGAAGATCCATACTTAACCACTTGGGACAAATATTACGAGGTGCTACAAAGTGTTGCCGATCAGTCTATAATTGTTACCAGTAGAGCAATTGGGGAAATCACGATTTTTTTCATGTTTTTGGTCCATTTCAACCTCTAAATATTTCTTCATCATCTCCAAAAATAGCAGGTTTCTATTCTGACCCTAACTCTAACTCCATGCCAAATTTGGAGAGGATTCGGCCATAATTGCGACCTGAACATGGACATACGGACACAAAAAGCTAGTTCGAATCAGCTTGGTGAGATAGAAATATCCATATCTAACATCGTTGGTCTAGGACCAATATTTCGAGGAGTTACAAACATTTTGGGCCCAATCAAAATTTGAATAGCCCCAACACCGTATGGCAAAAGAAACGAAAAGTTAATGGAATTTGTATATGCAAAACACAAATTAACCAGGTAAAACAGCAGCTAAGTTCGACCGGGCCGAACCATATTTAATACCAGCCAACATTGAACATTTTCAAAAAAAAAAAAAAAAAAAAAAAAAAAAAATCGAAGGAAATTACCTCCCAACCCCTTATATGGAGGCTATACCAAGACGTGGTCTTTCAAAAGTAATTTTTATTCTCTTAGGCAGTAGTACCTTTTACGAACTTTACATACAAAATTTGAAACAATTTCGGTAAATAATATCGCAAAAATCATGAAAGTACCGAATATCGGGGACCTGCATAATACCTGGACCTACATAAGCAATTTATTGTCACCGAATATCAAATACCGAATTTGAAACAATTCCGGTGAATAATGTCGCTAAAATCGTGAAAATACCGAATATTCGGAGGTTATATGGTGCCTATACGAAGACGTGGACCTGCACAGATAATTTTCTGTCATAAGCTTTAGTATCCCCTACAAACTTCAAATACCAAAATTTGAAATATTTTCGGTGAATAATATCGCTTAAATAAATTTTTATATGGAGGCTATACCTAAACGTGGACCTGCACAAAAAAATTTTCTGTCATAGGCTTTAGTACCCACTACGAACTTCAAATACCAAATTTGAAACATTTTCGGGTAACAATGTCACTAAAATCGCCGAAATACCGAAAATGGGGAGGATCCGTTATATGGAGGCTATACCTAAACGTGGAGCTGCACAAAAAAATTTTCTGTCATGGGCTTTAGTATCCACTACGAATTTCAAATACCAAATTTGAAACATTTTCGGGTAACAATGTCACTAAAATCGCCGAAATACCGAAAATGGGGAGGATCCGTTATATGGAGGCTATACCTAAACGTGGAGCTGCACAAAAAAATTTTCTGTCATGGGCTTTAGTATCCACTACGAACTTCAAATACCAAATTTGAAACATTTTCGGGTAACAATGTCACTAAAATCGCCGAAATACCGAAAATGGGGAGGATCCGTTATATGGAGGCTATACCTAAACGTGGAGCTGCACAAAAAAATTTTCTGTCATGGGCTTTAGTATCCACTACGAACTTCAAATACCAAATTTGAAACATTTTCGGGTAACAATGTCACTAAAATCGCCGAAATACCGAAAATGGGGAGGATCCGTTATATGGAGGCTATACCTAAACGTGGAGCTGCACAAAAAAATTTTCTGTCATGGGCTTTAGTATCCACTACGAACTTCAAATACCAAATTTGAAACATTTTCGGGTAACAATGTCACTAAAATCGCCGAAATACCGAAAATGGGGAGGATCCGTTATATGGAGGCTATACCTAAACGTGGACCTGCACAAAAAAATTTTCTGTCATAGGCTTTAGTAACAATGTCACTAAAATCGCCAAAATACCGAAAATGGGACCTGCATAGACAATTTGCTGTCATAGGCTGTAGTACCCATTAGGAAATTTAAAAACGAAATTTTGAAACAATTCCGGTGAATGATGTCGTTTAAATCACCAAAATACCGAAAATAGGGAGGTACCATTATAGGGGAGCTATACCAAATCGTTGACCTATATGGCCCATTTTCAATATCAAAAGTCCTGCGGTCGTAATATACATTTGAGTAAAATTGCATCAACCTACTTCATTTCGTTCGGAATTACGAGTGATTTCCACGGACGGACGGAGGGACGGACATAGAATTTTATGCTGATCAAAAATATATATACTTCGTGGGGTCTGAAATGCATATTTTGAGGTGTTACAAACGGAGTGACAAACTTAATACACCCTCCATACAATGGTGGAGGGTAAAAAAACGAATTAATGCTCTGTACCTTTACCTGCAAGAATCTACAAATTTTGCAATTTTCTTCGATATCATAATGGGAAAATCGGTTATCGTAGAAAAAACGTTTACATTCTTGCATTTCTGGAACATACCATAAATTTGTATCTATTTTGAAAATCTCGAATAAAAAAGCAATACTGAAAAAACACATGGCCTACTTTTAGGCATCAAAAAAATACAAAGTGGACAAAAACTCGATTTAGGTTATTAATTTTTAATTCGTGACTTGCCATATATCAGAGACACAAACAAAAAAAAAGAAAGAGTAAAGAATAAAGCCTACTTTAAGGCTTCAATTGAAAGTTTTTTCGCCCTATTGTTTTTAGCCACCAATTGTTGATAATTTTAAATTAAAACCAAAAAAATCCTGCATATGTTAGGGTGCAGCATAAATGGCATGAATTGTTAATGATTTTTATTAAAAAATAGTATTTTATTAAATTTTGAAAATATTTTTTTCTATTTTGAATTGAAAGGTAAAGAAGAAGTTTCCATAGAAGAAGTATGGGATCTTAAAAACGGCCCGAAGGAGATCGCATAATATATATTAAGGTCCTTTTTGCAATGGAAGACCAGAAATCTAAGTTTTTACGGAAGGCCTGTCACTAGATAATTTTCAGCGGACCTCTCAAAAATAATTTATTTTTTTCATGTATAGAAATCCCCACAATGGGTTTTCTATTAATACAAGACCTCTCAAAAGGTCTTGGGTCTAAACGAGAACTCAATTATTTGCTTTCATTTACCACCACCACCTGCAATCACCTTCACACCCACCAACAATGTTCATGGCCATCTTAATTTCTAGCTACAACACAATTCATTTAACTAATTGCTATGTAATTCAAGAACTCCCCCCTCCCTTTCCCCTCC